GATGTTCGCGATTCCTGAGATTCGGAAAGAATTATGCGACAAGGAGTTAAACTTCTCAGAGGGTACGACCGGGCCACTTTGCTTCATTAAGCAATAAGTGATTACATTGCCTCTCCCCCCCCCCTAGCTTCTTACGTATTCATGGCACCATGTGCCATATGTAGTGGGATACGACGACGCTTTTATACGTCTAATGGCCGTGATATCTCGGCTCGTTTTGGAGGGAGAAAAATAGTATAGCCAAGGTGGCGGAATACGGGGGTTGCTCTTCGGGGGTGGCTTAACTGGATCAGGCCAAGAGGGCAGCGCTCTTAGTAATTGAATTAGTGACCCCTCGCGTCCGAGTGTGATTGCTTTGGGTTTTCCAGTAGCAGGGTTCGGTTATCTGTTCCCTCTCCTCATCCCGCAGAATCCCTCACGCCGTCTCGATCTCCACGAGATATTGGATAACGTTCAGCAACTACGATTTTGCACCTCAGATCGGTATATGCTCAGGTAATTTGGCCGAGAGGATTTGAGAAAACGTGTTATTGAACTTGGAAAATACCTTCAGAATTCCAAAATTTCGATTCACCCAAGTGTACATCAACGATCAACACATTTTAACATTGCAATGGTCGTCGTTTTTCTTCATTCGTTTTTATTAGAAGCAAAGTCTTAAAATATTTTAATCATTTTATTTCATTCGTATATATAAAATTCAATAATAAATGCAGAAAAATTTATTCGAATTATTACGCATAAAATACAAATAACACAAATAAAATACAAGGATGCATGAAAGGAATAATTTTGCTGGCAAATCTAAAAATTTAGCCAGATATAAATCTGAAAATAATTTTTTTGGATAATTAAAAATTTTTGCAATATTATTATCACATTTAAACGTCCTAGATAATAATTTTGATGATCCAACAAAATTATTTTCAGATTTGTCTGACCAAATTTTTAGATTTTTAAAAATTGCTCTCTCGGTATTGTAATGCACAATCGTGCTGTGACTCATTGTTCTCCTTTCAGAGCCTTATGAAAAATGAAAAGAATAATTGTAAATTCAAACGATGCTGATTTTCACCCCCGCCTCCCCCCCCCCCAGTTCCTACATACGGAAATAAACTGGTACGTTCGAGTTAATGACTGCGACAACGCGCGTATATGTGTTGGGTTATGCTAACAATGTGCCGGCGAGGGGGCGTCGGAAACCGCGCGAGTTATTTTGGCGTGCGGGGAGGGAGGTGGTTTTAAACCGCCGCTGTACATATGGATGCGGGGGGGGCGCGCACCCTGCCTAGGGCTCAGATTGGATTACGCGGATATGCGCTAATTGATTAAAGCGCCGTACGCCGTACGCAATGCCGCATGGGCGATCGCGCCGGCGTGCAAACGCACGTAGACTGCGGATCGTCCGTCTCGTTTTTTGCCTCCGTTTTCCGGATAAATCGCACGGCCGTTCTGTCACCCGTGGAAAGCGACACCGCAGAATATTCCGCGATAAAAGCGCAATTTGCCGGCCACTCCTCGATCCTCATTTGCGTTTAATAAATCGTCCCTCATTAGAATAAAATTCCAACGTAACCATCTGATTTTTGAGGTAACTCATAATTCTGCAGGGAGCGATTATTATTGCAAAAACTAATAAAAAAAAAATAGAATTTTGAAGATTTTGAAAAGGATGTAGATTGCTTTTTACTTTTCTCCCGTTTGTTTCATTAATTTTCTGTCGTTCGTAAGGTTTGGCTTTCTCATAGCCATATTGAATTATGACGTTAGAAGCGAGAAATTACAGAAAATTTCTTGCGCTCTATTGTTTTATTTTCTACGTTTTTCTGAAAAATATAATTTTCATATTTTCATATTCTTAAAATTTGTAAAAAATATCAGAGAGTAAGATATCTGTCCAACAAGTCATGTAAAAGTGTAAAATAATTCTTGAAATGATGAAATCATTAGAAATTACTAGATCTAGTTGTTTCTGATAGGTGAGCAGTGACCAGTTATTTCAAGAATTATTTTATACTTTTACGTGATCTATTGGACAGATCTTATCTTATTTTCTGGTATTTTTTACAAATTTTAAGAATATAAAAATATCATGTTTTTAAGGAAAAAGTAAAATAAAATTATACGGCGTAAGAAATTTTTTGAATATCATTTCTCGCCTCTAACGTCACATAACTTATGTCGCGTTGCAAGAAAACCGATTCTTAATAAATAAAATCTAAATGACTCGACTCTTAGCTTATAATTCGCAATTTTGTGAAAATCTTTAATATTATAAGAGCATGCATAAGTATCTCAGCGAAAGGATAATTATCCTGAAAAACGGACGAAAAGATGCTCTGAGGTGAAAAACTTTCTTGGCACGTCGTATAAAGCGGCCGCAAGCATCGCCGCGAGTTAGAGAGACGCTTGGATAATTAACGGCCATACGATTTAATTAATGGTCGCTTAATGTAAAGTAACTACGGCTCTTCGAAGTGTTGCCGACGAGAAGGAGGCGAGGAAACTCGGAAGGGGCGCGTGACGAGAAGGGGGAGGGGAACAGAGGTGGATTAAGTGTCTCGCGTAAGAGCCCTTGACGAAGGGGATGTGATTTATATAATTTAGCAAAGTGGTGAGCTACGCAGTCTTATACCGGGTCGTTAGTCATCCCTACCCTCTCGGCTAGACAGGGAGGGGGGTGGGCGAGCTCGTACCATCTCACCTTAATCACCCACCTTCTCCGCCTTTCTGCATCTGTCCGATAGAATCTTCCGTGTGAGGCTGCATTCCTGATGCAATTTCGCAATTTGTGCGTAGATTTTAACGCGCGATTAACACGTTAATGTACAGTTCGCTACATGTCAAACGAATTGAGGTTTGTTCACTTTTATGATTTCTCCATGTATCGAAAGAAAGAAACGGTTTTGCCATCGCATCTTCCTCCCACGTTTGTCTAATGTCATCCAATTAGAGATGCCGGCCGACATCTTGATTTGAATAAGATTCTCATAAGGTGGCGAGATATATGTTGATGGCGCCCAGACTGGAAGAAATGGCCCGTAAACGATTCGCGAAGATCAATTCTACGGCACCGGGTCGCTCCGACCCGGTCGTTTTGGCTCGCGGCGCGCATTTGTCCCTGTGAATTAATCATCGCGCGACGAAAATCTCCCTGTTACTCGTGGTTCATCTCCGGGGATGACTCACGATACTTGGATTTCTGTTTCGTCGAAATTATAACTTGATAGCGAGAAATGAAGAGAACGCGAAAAAGAATCATTTATATGTTCAAAAAAAGATTTAGCTGAAGTACTTAAAAATTTGATTAGATCTGAAAATAATTTTGGACCATCAATTATGAAATTATTTAATGATTTATGATTACAAAATTTGAATATTCTGCACAGAAAGAAATATCTTTTTAGAGGAAGATCCTGATCTTCGATTCCTGACTGAAGTAATATTTTTCGCAATAAAAATTTCTTACAGATATTTAATTCATTATCATTAAAAGGTTAAATATAACTTTCAACTGCTACGTTTCAGACAGTAAAAAAATGACACATAATTAAGAATCGAAGGTTTTAGAAAATGATTTCTAGAATTTGTTTAATAAAAATTTTTTTCTGACTATATAGTGAATCTTCCCATTGTCTGAATGACGCATCAGTATATATATAATTTATAATTTATTTAAAATATTTTTCTAATAAATTTGCTCATATTAAAAAAATAAATCTAAAAAATTCTATTTATTTAACAGTTCAACCGATTCATTTATTTGAGCTAAAAAATATAATTATTTAATTTTTCAAATAATAAGTATTTTTACATGAAAAAGAAAACGCTTTTTTGAAAAAAATTACTTTCGTTTTTAATTTAAACAATCTTATATTATTCAAACAATTTCATTATTTCAATAAAAATGTTGAAATTTCTGTAAAACATTTTTTTATTTTAATTAATAATTATATTGTCAAAATAATATTTAATTTACTTTGGTCTTGGAGCTTCCTATTTGGAGGGATTCCATTTGGTTCTTATTTTGAGAATTCGCCTTTAAAAAATTATTTTATTAGAAATAATTGAAATAATCTCATAATACTATGTTTTTTTATTCTATCTTGCATGATATTTATTTACGAGAAATAGAACTCTTCCGCGTCCATCTGGCGGCAATATTACATACTGCTCGCGAGTTAATGTTTTATTTCATTAAATTACATTTAGTGTAATCAAAGAATATATTATTTCAGTGAGAAAAAATTGTTTCAAACAATGGTAATTTTTTTTTAACAAATAACATGACTTAATGCAATATCTTTATTCAAAAATATAAATGTTTCATATAAAATTATATTTATTTGAATTAAATAAGTATAAGTTAAACAAATAAGAATATAAAATGGAAAAAATCTTGTTTTCTATGTAGCAATTTAATTTGGATATCTAATATAATCGTTCTGATAGCCCACACTTCTAAATGCTTCAACAAAATTGTTTTTTCTGTCTTGTTATATCGTTTTGCGTTATAATTAAAAAAATATTTAATTAATTTAACGCTTTACCACGTTCACTTAGGCAATAATTAATTCGTAGGATCCAATTGCCGAAGCAACGGAAGTGGTAATGGCAAACAGAGGAGATCGCGGACGAACTTCACCATCGAGCAGCTGGCTGAACTCGAAAGGCTTTTTGACGAAACGCATTACCCCGATGCATTTATGAGGGAAGAACTGAGCCAGCGGCTCGGTCTCAGCGAGGCGCGGGTACAGGTTTGGTTCCAGAATCGACGCGCCAAATGTCGCAAGCACGAGAGCCAATTGCACAAAGGTAAGTAACAGACTGTCACGATTAAAATTTGAGATAGTACAATGAAGATAGGACATTGAAAATAGTGCATTTTTATTATTATTATTTTTTTTTACTTAAATCAATCCACTTTTCACTTTATCAAGTAACGCGTGACGCTGAGAAAACAGACATGCCTTCTATGGTTATAGTTATTCTAACAGTTATCGAATTAGATCGGTGCTGAGAAATATCAAACAATTGAACCATTCCGCGCAAAGAAGCGATATGTTCCCTTTTTCTTCCTCTTTTTCTTGTTGATGATTAATATGCTTAATTAATTAAAAAAAAAAAATTAAATTTTCCCGCAGGCGTCGCTGGAAGCATGGTGCTGGCACCGCGCAGTCCGCCAACAACGTTGGAACCGTGTCGAGTTGCGCCTTACCTGCCAGCCCTCAGGTTGCACCCTCCGATGCAAGGAACGGGCGCCGCAAGCGTCACGGTTGGATCGGCCTTCGACCCGGCGGTGCTGCACTACGCGGCCGCCGGCGGCCTCTTCTGTCTGCCACCACCGCCACCGCCACCCCCGGCGCCGTCGGCCGGTCATCCCCCTCATCCGCTGAGCCTGGCGGCGTCGCTGGCCGCTGCTGCGGCTCGCTCGAAGAACAGCAGCATCGCAGACCTGAGGCTAAAAGCAAGACGGCACCAGGAGGCCTTAGGACTCGACCGACCCGCGTAAGGTCCGCGCCGTGATACGTCTTGGACAAGAGGGAGACTCGACAAGGGTGAAGAGGGTGCGAGTTATCGTGATGGTGAGTATACGTTGGGGAGGATTCGTACTCTCTCGAAATGTGAGTTGGAGCGACGCGAAGAAAGGATTGTAAGTGGACCGACATTGTGATCGCGGTGAGTTCAATTCTCGTAGGGAAGGTACATACCTTACGCCAAGACAGTGTATGAATTCACCAAGATACTCACCGTCGTCGTTCGTTAAATCTATTAGCGGGCTAGTAAAACTTTGATTTAAATTCAGGAGATTTTAATTCGCTTTTCTCGTTTATATCATTTTGATACTGGAAACATTAATTATATGCGGCTATAATCCTTCTAAAAATTTAATATCACAAGGTAGTGCTTAATTCTCTATTTAGAGAATTTTATTAAAAGTATCGTTTTCCATTTTTTTAAATTTTATTGAAAGTATTATTATTTAGTACTCTTTTAATACGTAAAATAATTTCTAATATTGGATTTCTGTAAAGGAATTACACGCGTTTTGTGCAGCAACCCGCTCGCGTATAGAGTTAAGAACGACACGTGATGCATCCCTTCATCCGTGACGAGTGCCGAAGAGTCTGAGAAGTACAAAGGACACTCAATGTGTATAAAGTAGAGGAAGTGCGACGGGAAACGTGTAACATACATAATGTATACAGAATCTCGCTTATATCTCGATTAGCGTACTCCGTGTCGAAGAACTGTGATGCAAAACTGCGAAGTTTAATCAGCGCCGACGACTGGGCAGACGACACATTATAATGTAAAGTTTATCAACAATTCTTGAACCAGTCTTCACCCCTTGCAGCGGGCACGCGTTCGGAACGGAAATCAAAGTGGCTCTTATGTATACTCGTATTTAAATAATTACTACATTTTTTTAAATAATTATTATTTAAATTTTGTAAAAAATTAATCGAGATGCGTTCAATTCTTGATCAGTCATATTAAAAAAAAATCGTAAAATATTTACTAATTTGCTAAAAATAACAAAACGCATCGAGATCTCCAATCAGCTGTGTAAAAAGAATCTTAATGTCCATTTCTATCAATATAGATTTTAACTCTCAATTTAATTTACTTTTTTTAATCTTAAGAATTAGAGAAAGATAAGGAGTATAAATTAAATCAAAATTAAAATTAATAAATATTGGTAGAAATGGATACAAATCGTTTCTGAGAATAGATCAAAGGGCAAGAATACTTCCGTAGGGTATTCAGGGCCACGGGGGAATTCAGGAGGTGACCACCATGATCGCTGACCATCCATAAAAGGGATCGTTCATCGTTTTCCAAGAGAGCACAGATCTTGGTCGCAACGGTTTTTGCCGGCGCTATTAGCAGACGGGGGAATATCAGGGGGGTAGGGGGAGGGGAAATTCCAGGACGCGCCAGGATCGCTGACCAACCGCGGGCGGGAATTATAGATCGCCGCGTCCTGGCAGCGACTTGCAAGACATAACTCTCGTAGATGATTCACGGGCGGGTGGACGGACGCCGGACGATTTCTCGCGTTCGTCGCACGGGCGAGCACGAACGGCATCGCCGTCGGGGCGCTAATGCAATAACGCGCGGCTACGCGGATAAATCAAGCCGGGCGGACCGCTCGAACGGCGGCCGCGCCAGTGCCGCGCCGCGTAATCGCGTTACCCCGGTCGTCCCCGGGGCGCCGTTATTGTTCTGGAACCCCTTGCCCTCAGAGACGAGGACGAGGTGCACACGAAAGTCACACGCAAGTTTCTCGCGTTTAATAATTCATCCTCGCGATTTGTTTCGCGCAAATCATGAAACGCGAGTCCTATTCATCCCTTATTGAAATTTAGATTTACTGGAAGATAATGATTAATTATTTATTTTAGGCACTGACCAACAGTGTCTAAAATAAGTAACTTCCAATATTATATTGACCAATGTTAAATTGGATTTTTTGTAAGGGATTATTTTTTTTTCTTCTTCTTCTTTCTTTAAGACTGGGTCCTGTTATTTCTGTTTTTTATCTCTCCTGTGATTTCGCCAGTCCAGCTCTCCTGCCATCTTTTCGGTGATCGATCAGGAAGTCTTCTATTTTGTGGTTTTTAGTCTTTGGTCTACTTCACAATTCTGTTTGAATCCATCCTGTTCTTTCCATTGTTTTCTTTTAGATTTTATCTTTGTCTTCTATTTGCAGTTTTCCTTTAATAGCACTACTTCTGACTCTATTTCGCAGACCTATTGTCTTTATTGTTTTTAGTGTTTTCATCTCTATGATTCTGGTGGAGATAAGGGATTAATCATGAAAGAATAAGGGAAATTTTGTGATATCATATGTCGAATATGTATATTAAAAGAAGAAAAAGGATTTTTAGCAAGGGATAAAATATTGCTGTCATAAACAACATGGAAACGTATTAGCGTTTGCCATATAAGAAACGCGTGGAAAGCTCACCGCAATATCAAGTCGTGATGAAATGTCTTCCGGTGCATTTTCGCGGATAAATCAACCATGCATCTTGGGGGAGGATTGTAATCGCGTTAACACGGATTTATTCCGGCCATCCCCGGGGCGTCGTTATCGTTCCATCGATAGGTCGAAGCAACGCCGCGTGGCCGTGATTTGATTAGCGACTTTAATTAAAAAGAACGCCGGTGCGCAGCGATCGTTTCAACATACGACCCATATACGCCGGACTTTTTATAGCTGCTGCATATAAAAAAAGAAAACCCATAATTCGGTCGCTTTACGACCGCAAGATTGATTCTGCAACAATGACTTATAGTCTCATAAACCAAATATCTCGCGATGATACTTTCTAATATAATAGATTACAGGATTTCTATTGGATGAAAGTTAATTTAATTTGGATAAAAGTTAATTTAATTACAAGCTACTAACAATTGGAATATCCAATTCATCAGCTACATATGCATTAAAATTGAACATTCAGAAGTTGTATAATAAGTTATTACAGAGAGGAAGATCGTCATTTGTGTTGTATAAATTTCATCATTACAGAGCAAAATCGACTAAGGCGATTTGTTTATGTACAAAATAAGCGACGAATCAACCAATCGATTCAGCTACCCATATAATCAATTTAGCGATTTGCGTCAAATTGTCATTTATTACTCCGTCCCTTTTCTTTCTCTGTCAATTCTTGTAAAGAGTCACCGAGAACCCTTGCGATATAAGAAAAGACGCACATATAGCGTCCAACATATTTGATTTTTGTTTATTTGATTGTTTCAACTAAACATCAAATTTAAATTTTCATCATCATAAATATTATCAACAAAAGATAATTTATTAATTTTTCTGTGCATTTTAGATATATAATTTTGTTAGGTTTATATTTTATGCAAAGTACATTAAAACCGGATCTAATTAATTATTATTATCATCAATAATCATTGTATCGATGTAAAATGATAGCAGTTCAAACAAACGGAAATAAGAAATAAAATAAAAATAATTCATGGTAATTACGCTCGTATAACGATGAAAATAATGACGCTCCACCTCATTTTCGCAGACAGGAAGATGATAATAAAAGCGCAAGGCCAGGGCCAAGGGCCGTATTTGCCCTCCTATCCCCGGTGACGCTTTCAGGAATAAAATAAAACCCTCTCGTATCTCCGGGATAATTCGGAGGGCGCCGAGGGATGGCTCCTTTCCCTTCCCCCTTTTGCTCATTTTAATCCGAGTTTTAAGAAGTTTTTCCTATTGCTCGTAAATTGGCCGTCGTTTGTCTGGCCGGGGTCACGTGGGGCCAACAAAGGGTGGGAACCACCCCCGGGATATTTCTCCCCACTATTGCTCGCACATTGCGCATTCGTAGCGCGCGAGTGGGGGATGGGAACTCGTAACTGCGATATAATGTCCCGCGAAAACCAGCTACCATCATCAATTATCTCCGCCTCCTCGTCCCCTCAGAGGGGATGAAAACGGGGAATAATCGAGAAATGCGCGGGGGGGAGGTGACTCGCCGAGATTTCTTGAGGAAAGACAAAAGAGATTTCTTGCAGAAAGACAAAAGAGACAGATCGAAGATATAAAAATAATAATAATATTATCTAAAAAAAAAGGCAACTACTTAAAACATGTTTCACTGGTTACAGTTAAAATTATTACTGTGTTTTTTGTATCTGTTAAAAAATTGTCTATTGTAACATAAAATTTATATCAGCGATATTTTAACAATATATGCAAAAAATTTATGTTTCATAATCAAGTCACACAGTCACTTTTATGTGCTATTATCTGACTGGACGCCAGAAAGACTTTCTTGCTATAAATATGACAAATTGTTCAAATATAAATTCTGTCTGTTATTTATTTATATCAATTAGATACAAAACATACGATATCGCAACGCTTGCCAGTTAATAGCTACATTTAGCAGAAAAAGCAACTTTATAACCATTGTAAGACTCTTTAATATGATTGGTTTGTACATTTAGATCGTGAAGAACTAAAGGTAAAAACCAATCCTGTCAGAGATTTTTACAACGGTTACAAAACTGCTTTTCTATTGAAGTAGAATATTTGTCTATTTTAGCTAATTTGTCATATTTGAGATAACTCTCGCTACGACTGCAAGATCATTTTTTTTAGTGTACGAAATTCTAATCTAAAAGAAACACATGTTCCTAAAAGAGCAAGACAGACTTGACGAGATGACAATTCTCAATGATTCCGATAAAATACTATAATATAGTACCACTTGCTTAACATGCAAATTGTCCCTTTTTCTTAATAAAATCTTCCGACGTTCAAAATTCTTTTCAAGTAGAAGACGAGCGCCCGTATCTCTTAACGTTAAATTTCTTTTTATCGTTTAGCGTGAAGATCGTTGGAAATTCGCTAACGCCTAATCGGATCATTGGCGAAAAATTCGCGGCAACAGATCAATCCTGCGATTCCGGCGGCGAGATCGAGAGGATGGGTGTGGGATGGATGCTGCGCGAGATTTGGAAATAATTCAGCCCCGCGCACTGACTGGCGGGCCAAGGGGCCGCTTGCTCCTTCCGGCCCCCGCATGCCTTAATCTAATCCAAGGATAATCTAAAATTCATGACACACATAACTGCCAGGCGATGATATATCTGGCGGGGGCCTGTAAAGGCAGCGTCTTCTCCGTTCCGCCGTCGTTTCCTCCCCCCCCCCCCTTACCGTACATCCCTCGACCGTTCTTGTAGCTTGCAGTTCGCCTCGGCGGGCACCCAACAGCAATCACTGACATTATTATTTAATGCGACGCGCGTGGCGGGATATACGCTACTAAATCGCGATATCTCGTAGAGACCCGCCATTGGATGCTGTTTATCTCGCGAGAGGAATTACCAGTCCGATCGCTGTCGATTGGTCTTCCTTCTTCAACGTCTCACATATAGAATTAAATAAACTGATAACAATTGGTTAAAC